GCTCTATCTTCTTTCCCTTTAGACGCCACCGTACTTTAGTGTATGATCACAATGGGGTTCAAGCTAGGGGTTAATGCTTGAAATAATTCCCTACAAAAATATTGTTGCTCTGTCTACTGCAGAGGCTGAGTATGTAGCAGCAGCTGCTTGTTGCTCTCAAGTCCTTTGGATCAAACAACAGGTGCGTGACTTTGGTATTAAATTTAATTGCATTACTATCTATTGTGATAACACTAGTGCAATTTGCATATCTAAAGATCCAGTCCATCATTCAAGAGTTAAGCATATTCATATAAGGCATCATTTCCTTAAGGATAATGTTGAAAAGGGTTTAATTAAATTAGATTTCTGCCAAACTGACAATCAAATTGCAGATATATTGACTAAACCCTTGAATAGAGAAAGACATGAGAAGATAAGAATGGAACTTGGGATGATTAAGTTATACTGAAAAAAAATTGCATCAAGTTCCCTCAGGTATGAAGCTCAAACTGACGTACTTAAACTATTGTATACTATGCACAAGTGTTATATATTTAATTACGTAGTTAAGACAGGTTGTGAGCAGGAGTAATATTTACTAAGGGCATGTAAATTTAAAAGAAATAGAATATGAAAAGTCCAAAATTGGTTGCATGAGCCTTGTTGATTTGTTCCATGTATCAAGTTGTATTTGCAAGTGTGTTTCTTCTGATTTAATTCAAAAGATAAAATTGTTGTGTTTATCTATCTTTCAAAATTCCAAATTCTTTTTATTTAAACACAAAAAATCGGATGAATGCATCTAATATTCATCATTATCTTTTGTTCAAAAGTAGCCCACTTACATTACTCTCTTGAAACACAGTTTGCGTTTCCCTAAGCAATAAATATAAGTGTCAAATCAACTAAATTTACCTCACCTCCCAAACGACACCTCACTTCACCTATTTACCTCCACCATAAAACATGTCAGCCTCACAAAAATTTACACCACACAAAAATTACCTTCTCTCTCATCACTCCGATCAAAATTACTCTCCAATGTCTACCTCCCCAAAAACCCAAATTGAAGCTGACCTAAACACAAACCCAATTCCATACATCATCATGGAAAATCCACCGGAAATTGCTCCCATCAAGATCAAGAGCCTCCAAAAGTGGATTCAACTACCGAATCTCAGTCTTCTCAAATAAGGAAGTCCGATGACATGCAAGATGAAGAAGAAAGTGCTCCGGAACTAGGGTTCAATTACCGGGACAAGCCAGTAGCCATGAAAAGGCAAGAGAAAATTAGTGATCACTTTGTGACAGGTTTGGCTATTAATCTTCCTTGGTGTAAGTCTGTTAAGTTGTATGAACTGCTTGATTTAATTGAGGCTCAAAATTGGGTGAATTTGTTAAGTGAATGCTTTAATCGGAGTATGTATGTTGATGCTATGAGGGATTTTTTCAAAAGTTTCAAAAACTCTATAGGTGTTATTCGTTGCTATGTGTATGAAAAAGAAATTGAGTTTGATGCGATGTACTTGGCTAAGTTGTTTGATGTTCCTAATACTGGATATGATTTATATTTCAAAAGTAATGTGATAAGGAACCCTCTTCCTGATGCAAATATTGATGAAATAGTGGAGTTTCTAGGTGGTGACCCGGAGGAAACTTACATAAATCACAATAACCTAACCCCTCTTGACAATATTCTACTAAAGTTTGTTTTCAATGATGTTATCCCTCGCACCCAAAAGAGAGACAGTGCCAACAAGCTTGACTCTGTTCTTATCTACTGCCTAGCCAAAAAGATCCAAATCAACTTTCCCTCCATCATGATCCAACACCTTTCCCACTGTGTTCCAAAAGGATGGAAGGTGGGATATGGTAACCTACTTACCTATGTTTTCGAAAGCTTTGGTGTCACCTTTACTGATAAAGAACCCCTGCCCCTCAAAAACATCGAATACATGCAACCTATTTTCCTTGAAAACCATAAGATGAAGGTTGTAGATGGATGTTTTGAAGTTGTGCTGGAGGAAAAAGAGAAAAGGCCAAAGGAAGTAGGTGCCCTAGCTGAGGGGGAAGAAGAGAGAGCTACGGGGATAATAGAGGGAGTGGTGCAGGACATTCAGGAGGAGGAAGAGGAAAAGGTAGTTGAGGAAATCACTGAAACAGGGGGAAGGAAGAAAAGGAAGAGCTTGAGGTTGATGAAGAAAAAGGAGACCTCTGCACCCATTTGCATTGATATCACTGGGGTGCAAGAGGAATTGCATAAAGTCACAAGCTCTCCTATTTCGGGCAAGCATGCATCTACAGGAACAGGTATTGCAGCTTTCAGTTCCCCACCAAAGGTTCCCAGCGAGGATGTGAAGGAGATGAAGGATATGCTCTTGAAGGTGCTGAAGGAACAAGAAGAGTCAAAGCAGAATATGGCGGAACTGAAGAAGAGCATGCTTATTCTGAACACTGATGTCAAGAAGCTGGTCTCAAGCACTGAACAAGGGAGATAGTCTATTGTGAAGGACATAGTGTCTCAAATCAGCAAGAAGCTGGAGGATCTTGCTGTTGATGATGACCAGAGCATTGCATCTTAACCTGTCTTTCCTTGCAGCCTCTTTATATTGATGAAACTTATATTTTATCTGCTTTTGGGAACAATTTTATTTTGGTCTGTAATATTTTGGGCACTTTTTAATTTCTTTTGGTAAACTTGCAAATTTGGTACATTGGCCGATGTTTTAAAACGGTTTTGGATGATTATTATCTATGTTTCTTTTGCCTATATGCTTTGTGAATGTTTTCTCTCTATGCATGCTTCTTGTCTTAACACTAAACCACTAGTTGGTGTGGTGTTATCGTATACTGTGTGCTTGTATGTTGGTTTTTGATAATGCCAAAAGGGGGAAAAGGATGCAAACTATCAAGGAAACTTAATCATTCTATGCTCTCTGTTCGAAATCTTCACAAGCTGCCTACTCTCTACAAGCAGGTATAATGTATATACAAGTTTTTCAAGTTTTTCTAGTTTTTCCAGCATTGTTTTACTTCCTTAACATTAGTTCCCTTTCTGCATTGTTTTTAGTTATTGCATTTTCTTTAGGAATAAGTTGGATTATCTCTGTTTCCTTGTAATTAAGTTTGGTTTGTTTGTCATCATCAAAAAGGGGGAATATTGTTGGACTTAATGATTTTGATGATGACACAACCTCACTTACTTACAAACTAATAAGTGCTTGATTGTTTAAGTGTGTACTCAGTTACAAAGACTAGGAGAATTAAGTGTCTTGTAAAAATACCATGAGGAACAAGAAGGCCAGAAGTAGAGCCATCCATATAGAAGAGTTCCCTCACAGGAACTGGCGCTTCAGAAATGAAGACTTGAGAAGAGAAGGTTCCCTCAGGGAACAAAAGCTTCAGAGAAGAAGCCTCATCAGAGAAGAGAAGTTCCTCCCAAGGAACAGAAGCCTCGGAGTAGAATCTTCATCAGAGACATGAAGGCTAAAATATATTTTATATTCTAGGATTTATGTAAGTATAAGATATTAAATTGCACTCGAAAAAGCTCTGTGGAATTGGTCTTAAAAGATAAAACTGTGCATGCTAGAAATTAGGAAATTGGTTAAGTTGTTACATGATTATCCTTTCTTAACTTAAAGATTTTATTTATTTTCTGAATTTCGAAAATATCTTGTGCAGAAAGATTTTATTTTATGTTCTTATTTTCGAAAATATATTTTGAAAAAAATAAAATCACCATGTTTTCCAAAACTTGCGGCCTACTCTCCCATGTTTTCTTTCAGTCATGGTTTTGCACATTGAGGAGTTCATGGTTCCTTAATTTAAGGAACATGATCTTCTTAGTGGGTATGAGTAGTGGCGTAATGGTGTTGTTGCACAAAGTTGTTTTTCCAAGATGTTGCAATCTATAAATAGCTGTTGATTTCAGATGGAAAATCTCACCCTTTCTCACATAAGTTTTCAAGCTTTAAATCGAGTTAAGAGTCCAATTCCACACAAGTTTATTAGAGTGTTCTTAATGTTCTTATACTAGAGTTTGTTTATCTTTCGAGTTGTAATTTGGGGAATGGGAAAGTTTGAGTGAACTTTTGTGTATGAGAAAGAGAAATGAGAAAGAGAAGTGAGAAAGAGAAAAGAAAGAGAACAGAGAACAGAGAAGTAAGAAGAGAGAAAGAGAAGAGAAGAGAAGAGTAACAAGTTGAGTGACTTGTTCCTTGGGGTTTCAGGTTCGTAGAGGAACTTGAGTTTGAGTCTTTAGTTTGTAATAGGACCATTTTCCCTAATCTAGTAAAAATTCTTTTCCCAAAATCCCAAGTGGTCGTGGTTTTTCTCCTTGTTAGGGCCAAGGAGTTTTCCACGTAAAAATCTCTCTTGCATTCTTTAGTTCCTTTAGTTAATCTTTCTGTTCCTTTAGATTACTTAATCTTAATTCCGCAAAAAGTTTGGCTAAAGCCTCATACTACAATTCAACCCCCCTCTTGTAGTATTCATTGAAACAACAGAGTATAGAACATATTCCTGGGCCTCAACCATCAGTTTAAGCTTTTGGTTGAGATGATCTACTAACATGGTATCAGAGCCAGCGTGACACAAAGGTCACGGGTTCAAATCTCATCCGCCCCTCCTTCAAAGTGGAATTTATTCGTCCCAGGTATGGGTGTTGCTTCCACATTTCAAGCCCAAAGGGCCTTTCATGTGAGGGAGAGTGATAGAGTATAAAACATATTCCTGGGCTTCAACCATCAGTTTAAGCTTTTGGTTGAGATGGTCCACTAACATGGTATCAGAAACACGGCTACCCATTTAAACGTTAGAGATGACCGTTTCCAATGGCTAACGTCCCAGTTAAGTGTCACATGATATGTAAACGAAAAAACATTAAAATATTAGACATAATCTCTCATAATATGCCATCATATTAACAAAGATTGTTAATATGGCTTATTAATCGGGGCTGACTCTTATTGTAGATGTCATAGGACTATTTAGAAGATGTTTGGTAAGCTCAGCTAATCATCTTTCCACAAAATAAAGCTCAGCTAATTACCTCCGAATTTAGAACAACAATTACAAGTTTACATTTACAACAACGCCTGATATTTGAGAAATTCAGTCCATAATTCAGATTTTCTCTCTCAAATCTCAATGACAACAACTACCCTTCCCGCCATTTTCTCTCTCCACTTTTCTTCCTCATCCTACCACCCAACCAAACTCCATTACACACCCAATTTACGCCCTTCTTTCTCTCCCCTCAATTTCATCCCCAAATCAAACCCTAGGTCTGTCAATTTCAAATTATTTCGTCAATACTAGCTTTGATTTTCATCCAATTATTAATTTGAGTGCTTAATTTTTAATTTCTTGTTTTGTTGCAGATTAAGAATTTCCTATGGAGCTACAATTTCATCCAAGAAGCAACTTAAATGGGTACCTTGTTGTTGCAGTGGTAATGCCGATATTAACCCTGATATAGCTCATGATTCTTCTTCTAAGGTATGTACATCATTTTGTTGCTCTTAATTTTTTGCAATTTTAACTTATGTAACATTAATAGTCTTGGTTTTTATCACGGTGGTCTAACGTAGAATTTATTATATACACCCAGATGTACCGTATACCCAACTAACTCAAAGTTAGTTTTTGCTCTTCATTTGATGATTAAGTGAAAAACAATCATCAAAATGAGTACAAAATACCTGGGTGTACCCTATATAACAATCTCTTGGTGCAACAGGGATTAGTCGAATCGTTGCGAATGAGAATGAACCTTACGGTGTTTAGTATCATGAAACTAATTTAGTCATGGTTTGCATTAGAGAAATAACTTGGAGTTAGTTGACACATTTGAATTTGATAATGGAAACTAGAAATTAGCATTGTGTACCCCGGTGTACCATCTAATAATCGCTATGGAAGATATTAATGAGAATTGAGAATTACCTAAAATATGAGACATGCTAACTTATTGGCACTTAATACATCTACATTAGCTATACCATACAATGTATAAGTTCGATCATTAAGTAAAGCATAGCTGTTCTTTATAGCCAAATGCGCCAAAGTTTTAGCTACAACAATCCTATTCAGTTGTGCTAGGTACAAGAGTCTTTTATACTTCTCGTTTGATGCACTAGTTAGGTACTACCTTTCCCATATGATGCATAAGTGACAAGTCCAACTGTTCGAGTGATAAATTTAATTAAGGACAATTTTATAATTCTCTTCAAACCTTTGAAATAAATGTTAGTTTTAGCATCTACTGTATGATACGAAAGCCTTTCCTAGATGTTATGTTATTTTAATTTGACTACTATCCGTGTGGGTGTCATTCTCCCTTGTCAGAAGAAGAGCAGAACATATCATATGCAAAAAAATTTCTGTTAACATTAATGAAATATATTGGAAACATAAATTTAAGGCTTTAGCAACTTCCGGGGATTAAGGATAAGATATGCGGGTGTGCTAATGGCACTTCATCTCTGGAGAAGTTTTGACACTTTCTTGATAGGAAACCAAGTGATGAGTTAGGTTTATAGCACGAAGCAATAAAAATGTACAAAGTTTGACATGGAAAATTGTGATACCAAAAGCTCAAATCTGTCAGCAGTCACTAGGAGGGAAGTCGAGAACGTTTTGGGATAAGGCTTGTTTCACAACTGTAGCTATCCATTTTGGGCCATAAGATGGAATTGTTCAAGAAGGAAAAATAGAACATTTGATTCGATTGCAACATTAATGGTAGTTTTACCATCATGATCTCATGTTTCTTTGAATGAGTTTGATAATGGCATTTAATCCCAACCATTACTGGATATATTTTTCTACATATGATTAAGGTCATCTGTTTGTTGTACCTCTGTAGGAATCAAATATTAACATACAGCTTCCTAGGAGATGCTTGCTCGTGCAATTTACTTGTGATGCTTGTGGTGAAAGAACAAAACGGCTGATTAATAAATTAGCCTATGAACGAGGAACTGTGTTTGTTCAGGTATTTTTGAACTAATGTCCTCTGAGAATTCTGTGTATTCTGTTGAGGATATGTGTGTGAACATGATATGTTTAGATAAAAATTCATGTTTTATTGACATTGTGGATATGCAAGTATGCGACAGTTGTGCCCTCATCTTTTGAGTTTATGTTTAATGACATGTTGTATTCTAGTAACAATTGTATTGAGAATTGGGAAAGCTTCCAGTATTATTATCAGCTTCTATATTGTTGAATATGCTGAAAGCAAAAGTAAGAATTAACTCTTATGATGTGGTATTTGCTTGACAAATGGAAATTGATGGCTTAGTCCTCGATAGAAAACTACCTGTTATTCTTTATTTTTCTTGCTTTTGGTATGTGATGAACTCTTCACATTGCACTGAAAATGATCAAATTTTATAAGCTGGCTGCGTATCATCATCCTTGATGCCCTTTTTTTTAATTATTATTGATGAGCAGCTAAATGCCAAGATGGGGGTTTGGCAAAATGTTTTATTTGATACTTTGGTGAAAAATTATACTCCATATCTCAAGAAGCATTTTGCTTGCCAATAATAATAAAATACTATGTAGATATGTTGTCATCAGGCTATGATAAGGACTTTGATCCACCTAGTAGCTTGCATTATTTCACAAATTTCAGAAAGCTTCTTAATGTAAGCTGTGATGTCCAACTTCATTTTTTATTTTCTCTGAATAATGTCATCAAATGTAATAATTTAAACCTGTTTTCATCAGTGCGCAGGGTGTCTCCAGCATCACAAATTAATTGACAACCTGGGTCTTGTGGTTGAATATGACTTTCGGAATGATACTGGTGAAGATTAGTATGAATTTTTGGAATACTTGTGCCCCTGTTTGCTTACTTGGACATTTTTGTACTTCTTAACTACTATCAGTAGGAAATTAATATCTTTTTGGCGAGTGTTTCTCTTTTAATCATACAAAAACAATCTTAGTTTTTGTATTAGAAATTTAATTTCGAAACATAGTTCAACTTTTACAGGTTTGTTCATATTCTTGAGGTTATGCATAATTAGGAGGTAACTTCAACAACCTATGATCTTTGATCTGTACTTTTTATATATACTGATAAAATATTCACATCTATGACCATTGAGAAGATTTTCATATGGAAAGATCAGAATAATAGTGATCTATGGCTAGACCACAAACTCGATGGCCATGCTTTTGGCTAGGATTGTTTTTTTACTTGAGGGCCAAACTCACAAACTCTGTTTGGATCAAACATTACCTTTGATCAGAATTGAATATTTTTGTATGTATTTGAAATAATTATGTGTAAGTACTCAATCACATTGTTTTAACTGAAAATTCTTGAACTCTCATCTCATAACAAAAAGTCAAAAAAATGAATGAAAAAAAAAAAAGAATCAATTGCTTATGTAAATCAAGGTTGAGATTACAAAACAACAAGCAGTGCAGCTGCTATGAGTCCTGTCATCCACTTGCTCCATTTGTATCCTTGCTGATAGATAGATATACCTGCATTCTGTTTCCATGACATCAAGTTAATATACATTTTGTCTGCAAGGAAAACAAACGTGAGAAAGAAAAGGTTTTCTAAATTGAGATTTTACCAAATCTGGAGAAGGAGCCGGTGAAATATCGTCTGAGGTATCTGTGACTGCCGTAGGAGGTGCTGGTGGGCTTGGTGGTATTGGGGCTGGAGCTGATGCATGGTGATGCTTGTGCTTATGCTTGTGCTTCCTCTTCTTTTTCCCCTCAGAGGGTGCTGGTGCTGGTGCTGTTAAGGGACTATTAACTGGTGCTAGGCTTGGTGAAATAGCCACTGGCGCTGGTGCAGGAGCCGGCTTTGTGGGTGCTGGTGCAGGAGCTGGCTTTGTGGGTGCTGGTGCAGGAGCCGGCTTTGTGGGTGCTGGTGCAGGAGCTGGCTTTGTGGGTGCTGGTGCAGGAGCTGGCTTTGCTGGAGCAGGTGATGTTGCTGGTGGAGGTGACACAGGGGCTGGTGGTTGTACTGGTGGCGGCGGCTGGGTTACTGGTGCAGGTGGTAGTGATGGTGTTTGTACTGATGGGGGAGGAGCTGTGGGAGGTGGTGAGCTTTGAGGTGGTGGGACAGTTGGACTTGACACTGGTGAAGTGGACGCGGGTAATGGAGTTGCTGTAGTTGGCGGGTTTGAAGTAGGTAATGGTGGTGCTGGCGATGCAATTGTTGGTGATGCTGCTGGTGCTTGGGCTTTTGCTAGTGCTACGGCAAGAAATATTCCATATAACATGCAAACACACCTTAGATTAGCCATTTTTTTCTTCAGGTAAAATGCCAAAAGAATGAAGGTGAAATTTATATAGTAAGGAATGATGAACTTGTAAGAAAATGGTTAGGAGGTTGGTGAAGAAGGGGAGAGGTACACTTCAAATGGTTACATCTCATCTACTGATTTATGGAAGTTGTGATTTTTAAGTTTACGAAAATAGTATAAACTTGCTTTCCATTTTAAACTTGTGGTAATCAAAGATCAATATTTAATTTGATGATGTTACTTACTCCGTAAATGTTTGTTGATCTATGTGTTTTTAGTACTCCCTTCGTATTTTATTAATTGCTTCATTTCCTTATATGAAAACTTTAAACATATTTTCTTTTATCCTAGTAGTGATTCACTCATCATATTTTAACTAGCTTTTTGGCCCGTTCAATGCACGGGTTATTACTTGAGTTAATTATTTTCATATGTAGGAAGATTATTTCATTTCTATAACTTAAAAGAAAAAAAGAGAGAGGCTAGAACCGTGAAAGAAGATAAAGGAATTTAGTTAGATATATACATGTGATGATTGTGGGATATAAAATGACACATATAGAGGCATGTATACCGGAGGCTCTACAAATGCCTTATAGAGGAAGAAAAGGAATTCCTACATTTAATGTATTAGTTGCATGTGATTTTGATATGTGTTTCACGTTTGTATCAGCGGGTTGGGAAGGTTCCGCGCATGATACTCGTGTATTTCTTCATGCAATTGAATCTCCAGCTTTTAAGTTTCCTAAACCGCCTGAAGGTGTGCATAATTCTTTGAAATTATAGTATATATTATCTTCAGGTAATTATTAGGTATAGTAGTTTATGTTAATATCATTTATATTGTGAATTTGTGATAGGTAAGTACTATTTGGCCGACAAAGGGTATCCAGATCGAAAAGGTTATCTTGTACCATATCCGAAGACAAGATACCATGAGTCACAATTTGAAAACGAGCCTCCAAAAAATGAGCGTGAAACTTTTAATCGTTGGCACTCATCTCTTCGAAGTTGCACTGAGAGATGTTTCGGAGTTTTGAAGCAAAGGTGGAAGATACTAAGAAGTACGCCACAATTTAGCATTGAGACACAAATACGGATTGTGGTTGCAACATTTGCACTACATAACTACATTCGAATAAATTCTCCAGAAGATCCCCTTTTTCGAGTGTTAGAGGAATATCCTAATTTTATACCATCATGTGAGCTTCCTGATGTCCGTGTTACTCCCCAAGGTCAAAATTGCACAGAAAGTTGCACTGAAATGAAAATCATTCGTGACAAAATAGCAGTTGCTTTATGGAAGGCGAGAAATGAGAGACGTCAATTATTATAAGAAACACTAGTAGTCTCTTAGATCGAATTGCTTTGTTTATTATTATTATTATTATTATTATTATTATTATTATTATTATTATTATTATTGTTATTGTTATTGTTATTATTATTATTATTATTATTGTTATTATTAGAATAATTTTTTTATACTAGTACCTATGTAATTATTATTATTATTATTATTATTATTATTATTATTATTATTATTATTAGGGCCTTTATTATTTATGACTTTTATTTACCGATTTTATAATAAAGTAACTATTTAATTTGTAAATTTTATTATTTTTACATAATCCAACCGCTAAATTTACCAAACACTCATACTATCAACCGCTACTTTGACAGCTAACCTTCACCCGCTACTTGTTGACAGCTACCCGCTACCCTCTACCGCTACTTTTGCCAAACATGACCAACCGCTACTTTGACAGCTAACCTTCACCCGCTACTTGTTGACAGCTACCCGCTACTCAACAGCTACCCGCTACCCTCTACCGCTACTTTTGCCAAACATGACCAGGTCATGTTTGGCAAAAGTAGCGGTAGAGGGTAGCGGGTAGCTGTTGAGTAGCGGGTAGCTGTCAACAAGTAGCGGGTGAAGGTTAGCTGTCAAAGTAGCGGTTGATAGTATGAGTGTTTGGTAAATTTAGCGGTTGGATTATGTAAAAATAATAAAATTTACAAATTAAATAGTTACTTTATTATAAAATCGGTAAATAAAAGTCATAAATAATAGAGGCCCTAATAATAATAATAATAATAATAATAATAATAATAATAATTACATAGGTACTAGTATAAAAAAAACATTTATCCTCATCATAAAAAACAATATTAATACTAATACTAATAATAATAATAATAATAATAATAATAATAGTAATAATAATAATAATAATAATAATAAACAATGCAATTCGATCAAAGAGACTACTAGTGTTTCTTATAATAATCGACGTCTCTCATTTCTCGCCTTCCATAAAGCAGCTGCTATTTTGTCACGAATGATTTTCATTTCAGTGCAACTTTTTGTGCAATTTTGACCTTAGGGAGTAACACGGACATCAGGAAGCTCACATGATGGTATAAAATTAGGATAATCCTCTAACACTCGAAAAAGGGGATCTTCTGGAGAATTTATTCGAATGTAGTTATGTAGTGCAAATGTTGCAACCACAATCCGTATTTGTGTCTCAATGCTAAATTGTGGCGTACTTCTTAGTATCTTCCACCTTTGCTTCAAAACTCCGAAACATCTCTCACTGCAACTTCGAAGAGATGAGTGTCAACGATTAAAAGTTTCACGCTCATTTTTTGGAGGCTCGTTTTCAAATTGTGACTTATGGTATCTTGTCTTCGGATATGGTACGAGATAACCTTTTCGATCTGGATACCCTTTGTCGGCCAAATAGTACTTACCTATCACAAATTCACAATATAAATGATATTAACATAAACTACTATACCTAATAATTACCTGAAGATAATATATACTATAATTTCAAAGAATTATGCACACCTTCAGGCGGTTAGGAAACTTAAAAGCTGGAGATTCAATTGCATGAAGAAATACACGAGTATCATGCGCGGAACCTTCCCAACCCGCTGATACAAACGTGAAACACATATCAAAATCACATGCAGCTAATACATTAAATGTAGGAATTCCTTTTCTTCCTCTATAAGGCATTTGTAGAGCCTCCGGTATACATGCCTCTATATGTGTACCATCAATACATCCAATACAATCCTGAAATACAATCAATATTAGTCTTTCATATCAAAACTGTACATAATCTAATGACAACACTACCAAAAAAAAAAGAAAAGAAAAGAAAAAGAAAAAAGATTACCTTAAAATAAGGCATATATCTTGCATCTGTTGTTATTTTTGCCGGCACTTGTGTAAAAGTTGGATCATATGGTCTTATAATATCATATGCAAGCCTCTTGGATTTTTGACAAGAAATTGAATTGAGGACACCATGAAATGCCCTACTTATAGTTTCACCGGAACGTTGAAAACGCTCACCAAGAACTCTATTTGAGGCACCTTGAGCAATTGCATATAAAAAAATGCCAACTTTCTCGTGAATAGACATATTACAACTAGATTTCAGTCCATATTTCGATGATAGATCATTACACAATCTTAAAAATAATTGTGGCTCCATTCTAAATGCATTGACGCATCGAATAGGATTGCCAATCAACATTTCTTTTACCCACATCTCTCCTGTTAGAATTGAAGTCATGCATGGTTCTTTATATATGTATTTATAAAAATATGTAGACATCAAATATATTGTAAATGCAATTGCAATCCAAAGTTTGCGCATTCTTTCCTCATCAATATCCATATTAATAACAAACCTGCCAATTATAAAAATAAGTCATGAATAAAACTATCATAAAAAGTACTGAAAAATTTCTCTAGGAAAAACATACATAACATAAATAATCCAAGTATTTCACATAGAACAAATCTAAATTTTTATTTTACCACTAGAGCAAACAAAAAAACATTTTTTTTTTCTAAACTAATGCTAGTTATTACCCTTAATATATAGATATGCTAACCATTTAGCTCTGCTATCATCATCCTCCATACTCAAAAAAATCTCTCTTTTAGTTGCATCTCCAATGACAGTAGTAGCAAAACACCAAAACTCACTATGTTTCTCCAAATACTCATTTTCCACCATACGACTTATGGTATTCATTGCTGTGGAAATCGTGGACACATTTGATGTACTACTTTGACTGATTTGTTTAACACATTATGTCATTTCAATAATTCCCTTAGATATCATTGCAGATCCCGCTGATTGTCTTCTTGTACGTTTCACTTGACCACTATTAGACTTTAATGGAAGCTGCTTTTGAATCTTATTAGAAGGACGAGTGTCATTGTTTACAGCTTTCACTAGTCACTTGTGATGACTTACTTCCCGAACTACCTAAGTTAGCATCATTACGTACTTGCTCTATAAAATGTTGAAAAAAATTCCCCTCATCATTAAGTAAATCTTGAGCATATTGGCCACTTGGAAAATAGTTATCGCCACCATCATTATCAATATTCCCTTCCTCTAAATTTTCATTTTATATAGTAAGATCTTCAATGGGGTCTATTGAGGGCACATAAACATTCTCTCCTGTTGCATAAGAATCTCCAAACAATTGTTCCCACTTTTGTTCAAGGTCCAAGTTTACACCCCTTAGTCGAAACCTTTGGAAATCTGAATTTTCCTACATTAAATTATTATAAAAATTAAAATGTTATTAAAAATAATTTCATACTATAATTGTTAAAATGAAGATTATATAATAAATTAAATTGTGAATTTTACACACCTTGATTTTTCTTTGCCACCATTCATTTGTAGCGTCAATTTTTCCCGACTTTGGATCCCATCCTATACCCGTCTCTGATTGTTTTAAGTTTTTCCAAAGACACCAATCTTTTCTCATTGTGTCATATTTGTTCTTGCAAGTATTTGAATTTCTTAATTCACGACCAATTTTTTGTTCGACATCCGTTTGAATTTCCTTCCACCTAAAAAATTGTGCCTTCCCATTTTCCTTTATAAATGCAAGACAAACATCACATAGGGTGATTGAATCCTCGTCACTCCACTTAAAACTACCGCCACTGCCTCGTGTTTCACCGCCCCGTGTTTCCTTTGTTATTTTTTTTTACTCGATGATGAGGCCATCTAACCACCAAGCACATAAAATCATCAATTCAACCAAGTATTAACAAAATAGCACATACACCACATATTTTAAGTTCAATAACAAATATTTAATACTTTCTGATTTTTGCAACTCTGATTTCAATTTATAGGTAAGGCCTAGCATATAAGAATAATAGACATTACAAGCTTGCTTTGTTTGACCATAAATTATAAGATACAAGCTAAGGTCAGAACATAGGAGTAAAATCAGTAAATCAACCATTAGTATAATCACTTCTAAAACCTTAAAGAGCTATGACTGACAAAACAATAATTACAAAGACCATATGTTGAAAAAAAAAATTAGCATAATCTTGAATAATTGGTAGTGGCAAAAACAAATCTAATAATAATTATAACACTCGAAATTATGGGAATAAGTTCTATCAAAATTTCACCAAAGGCTCTAATTTATCATCTTGTGTAAATTACATAAACATATCTGATTCCATATACCCAAAAGATGAATTAAAGAATACAAAATCATATCATCAATTCAAAAAAAAAAAAATCAGAATAAAAAAAAAATTCAAAAAAAAACAAGGGATATATTTAAGGAGAGAATTCTTAATTGAACAATGATAATTTGATAATTAGTGATCAAGAGAACTTTGATGATAGAGGAATTTGATAGGAGATGGAACTTTGATGATGGAGGAATTTGGATGATAAATTCAAAAAGTTGTTTGACGTGATAAATAAGAAAAAGTCAGAAATTTGCCTACACCGCTACTTTTGTGGGATAAAACGCTTGTTATCCTAACGTTTGTGAAAATCTATCCAACCACTACCCGCTACTTACACCGATACGTTTCCAAACACTACTAATTATACCTACTAGTGTTTTGACCTAGTCAAAACGCTACCTGCTACTCAAAACGCTACCACCAAATAGGTATTAGTATTTTAAATTATATTTAAAGTCTAGGAGATGAAAAGAAAATTTTTATTATAATTTATATGTTTATGTAATGTTTATTAATTAAAATATTATTTTATTATGATGAAATGAAACACTTGCAAGTTGTATAATGATAAAAACTTAAACATAAATATTAAGGGAGATGCCATGTGGCGTATGGGGGTGATGAGTGACTTGTAAAATGTGATGTCATGAAAAATTTGTGGTTTGTGTTTTTAAATATTTAAAAAAGTATAGATGTTTTTTTTATGTTCTCCTTTCGCCCCACTAATACACACTTTTTTAAAAAAAAAAATTCTTTAACCAGCCCCCACTTCCATTATAAAAAATATTTCCTTTTTTTTATGCTTGCAATAGTTTGACTTTTACTCTATTCATTTGTTTCATTTTGACTAGTATTGATGATTTAAAACTAATATATATATATATATATATATATATATATATATATATATATACATATATATATATAGTCATGTGGGAATGTGTTAGATTCGTCTTGATTTATATTACTTTGATGTCAAATGTTAATAATTTTTACATATTGCTAATTAAAGAAATTAGCGATTAAATTAATGCATCGGCAAGTATTAAAAAGAGAGAGAGAGATATATGTTTCAAGTAAAATAAAATAAAATAAAATAAAAACTAGGAAGCACTTCATATTTTCTAATATTGCTTCTAAAACTCTATTTTTGGAGAAATGGGTCGGCAAATAAAATACGGAGGTAGTAAGGCCCCGTTCACATCACCTATGCTTCACTACTGAACTCAGTTGACTTACTAGAATCGATTCTTTTCACAGATACGTTGTGCGGAAAGGAGCCCTGTCCTATATCATATTGAATTGAGCCCTTGTACCGGACCGGGGGACATAAAGATGCATTTCGGTGAAATGAAATTATTTTTATTGAAACAAAATTACATTTGCTGAACTAAAATTAATTTTACTGAACTTAAATTAATTTTACTGAACTGAAATCATTTTTGCTGAGCTGAAATTATTTTTACTGATTTTCTATTATAATTCTTCTTTAAGATAACTGAATTTTATTAAACCGCACTTATTTTTACTGAACTAAAATTATTTTTATTGAACTAAAATTAATTTTACTGAACTAAACTTATTTTTACTCAACTTAAATTATTTTTACTTAATATTATTTTTTTAAGGTGAAGTAAACAGGGCCTAAATAGTCCATAAATATTACTAAAGTAACAATCGCTGACATCATTACTTTCTTTTTTTCAAATTGTACACGTGTCACTTCTCATTCATTTTTTTTCCTGCCTAAACTTTTTTTGCGTTTTAGGATTTTTTTTTTTAAAAAAAAAAAATAATCTAACTACTTATTGCAAAGTAGTTTAATACACTACATTAAAAAAATTTAGTTTTCAATACACTTTCTTTTAAAAATCTAAAGGAAAATAAATATCAACCTTTTATATATGTGATTACTCCATCTAATTACAAAATTTTATTGTTGACATGAATTTTCTTTTGTTTATATTATTTTAATTTTTATAGTTTAGTTTAGGTTAATAATATCGTTTTTAATACAAAGATTTTACATATTTTGACTGATATGTATTTGAAGTTTACATAATTATAAATTCTTTTATTATAGCCGTGCATCACACGGGAGTTAATCTAGTTAAGTACTAATTGTTAGGCTCGGATGATGCTTCGAACTATTACTTGTACTATAACAAATTAACAATAGTTGTGCGTAAAATTCATTATTCAATTCACGTCAATTGAATTATAATGCGTCATTTATCTACTTTTGTTGCAATTAAAGAAACATAGTATGACATTTATCAATGATTAACCCCGTTAACACTGGACGTAGTATATACAAGAAGTGATTGGTGAGTGTAGATTATCTGTAAAGACTGTAATTGCTACTATATTTGTGTGTTTGGTGGCTTGGTGCAATGTTAAATACTACATGTACATTAAAAAAAAAATTGAAATCATTAATTATTGGTAAGTTAATTATGTTGCTGTCATCTTAAGGTTAATTCGTTACCGATTGATTACTTTTGCTGTTGACGTCGTAACAAACATCACCAATTGTGGATCTACAAGAGATATAGCAACACTTGTTTATTTATAAATTCATGGAGGAACAGATGGAGTAGTTTGAATTTTTGATGATTCTAGCACATTTACAATACATGTCTTACTAGCTACAAAGCTTAGTGAAGATTGGAAACAGCGTTTTAAATATAGTTTACGCAATACAACAATAACAATTTTCAGGGTCATTTATAACTAAGAAAAACTCTACACAATTACTGTAGTAAAATACATTAATGGAGTAATTGCAAAAAAGTATAACATTGAAAAAAAAAAAATGGTTGCAAAAAAGTAGTGTAATATTTAAAAAACAGAGGAAGTATCAACCATTTAATATCATGCCATATTAGACTAAAACTCTAATATTAATGGGGATGTGAAAACGATCGGGTCACTTTCGTGTTCGTGTTCATATTAAACGGGTTGATAGATCTTAACCCAAACCTAACCCATTTATTAAACGGGTTGAAAATCCTTGACCCAAACCAAATCTACTTACGAAATGGGTACCTGTGTAACCTTTTAAAGTTTTGATGACAGCATGAAAATTCTGTAGACGAGTGCTTCCACATCAACCACTTCAGTCACTCTCAGGATCGAAATGCAGCAATGGATAAAGTGGATGAATAGGAACATAAGATGCTTAAGGTCATTTGAAAGACTCAAGAAACCCACTGCTGAGGAGTCTCTCCACATATTTCCCCAGTATATCCACCTCCAGATTCACTTTCTGCCCAACTTTTTTCAATGGTATCACTACATTTTGCTGAGTGTAAGAAACCAACATGAAGTTGAAGCATAGTTCATCATCAAACACATTCACCACTGTCAAACTTGTACCATCAACGGTTATAAACCCTTTTGGAACAATATACTTCAATAACTCTGGACTAGTCTTTACCTTCACCCACAAAGAATCATTCTCTGGATCAAGCGATACAATTTCCCCTGTCCCATCAACATGTCCCTATATTTGAAATTAAAAAAAAAAAAAATTAAATCAACAATAATGAAACATTAGTTAAACTGTACTTGACTTCAAAGTTAGATAAGTGCAACTCCAGAACCACTAAAAATAACAAAAAAAAGAACCACTAATACTCAGCAAGTACATGCAGTCATGCAGACTTGCAGAGTGAAAAATGAACCACTAATAAACAAATACTCTGTAAATGGTATAGTGTTTCTTGAGGAAATGCAATTTTTCAAGGATGTCGGGAATTTGCAGGTTGCAGCTTCAAGAATAAACATAACACATTGCTAAGACATTACTCTCTTTGTTCAAATTATTCTCAACGTATACTCAGAATTATGCAAAGCAAACAATTTGTGCTTTATTAGCCATGTTTTATCCTTCATATAGGCAAAATAAGAATGACAATTACTATGTAACAATCAAATTAGCCACATCTAGAGAGTGCAAAACTACTAAATCCATTTCTCAAAGTTCACCTTCAAACTTTATTCCATTTTAGGCAAATTCCTTTTACTATTTTACCCATCTTACCCCACAATATTTACACCATTCAATTACTCTCTCAGTAGTCTCTCTTACTTTATCCATCTTTTTTTTACACCCACCTACTTCTTTTACACTCTCTAACTTCATCCACCTTTTTCTTACATCCACTCAGCACATCAATACCTCTCTCAAATCGTCTTAATTTGTATGCAAACAATAAATGTTACTACTTCCGTTTTTTTAAATTTTACATTTTAACCAGCACATAGCTTTAGGCAAATTAATTGACTTGAATGTAAAAAGATATAAGTTGGGGTATTAAAATTTATAAAAGAAGATAGAGGGATTAATATTTTATTGAAAAGTAAGGATGTGAGAGGGAAGATATAATACTACCTTCGTTAACAGTTACTTCGTATTTGCAACAAAGGGGGTAGCACGGACTCCTAGACAAAAGTTTTTAAACATGATTATTGAAATATAAGGGTAGTACTTAAGTATTAATCTAATTAAAAAAAACAAAAAAAAAAAAGCCAAAACCACTAAACAACCAAACCCGAACCAAGATTCACCATTACCACCCAAAACTACCACCACCGAAAACCACTACCCCCGAACCCACCACCACCAAAAACCACCACCCCCGAAAACCACCAACACCCACGAATCGATCGAAAACCACCACCAAAACCCACGAACTACCGAGAACACCAACACCCATGAACCGCCCAGAACACCAACACTCACCCACGAACCACCAACAATCACCCACGAACCAGAAAAACCACCCATAAACTACAAAACCACTTGAAGCCACCCACAAACCACCAACAACCACCCACGAACCAAATGAGAAATGAAGAAGGAGATATGAAATGAGAGATGAGAAATGAAGAAGGAGATGATAGATGAAGAAGGAAAAAGATGATGAAGTGAGGGATGAAGATGGAGGAGAGAGATGGTGGATTGGTGGGGAGATAAGATGAATTTGATTTTTTTTGGGGGAAAAACTTAAGATGATTAAGTTAGATTAGGGTTAAAATAATTTGTAATTATGCATAGTACTATGTGTTAATAATTTTTAAATAAGGGTATTTTGGTCATTTTATCAAAAAAAAGTTACTATATTAGGAAAGAAATAGTTTTGTTGCAAATAATATAAAGCACCATTTTTTGGTAAATGTTGCAAATAACCGTTCACGGAGGTAGTAATAAAAAATAATAGTATTGGGTTTGCGTGGGGACTATGAGAGGAGAGAGACATAGTATTTAAATGGGGAAAGTTTCCAAATAAAATAAATATAACACTTAAAGAAAAACGGCTGCAAAAGAGTCATAAAGAGAAGGAAAAAAAATCATAGAATTAAAAACAATATGTGTATCAAAAGATTGATTCCTTGCTAGACAATTTATGTGATAAATCAAGAAATTGACCACTTTGTGCAAACTGAAGGAAGACCGAAGATGAGGAACAAAAGGCGACTAGTTGACTTAGCAACATAGCATTATGTCTCATGAGAAGCAACAGATTGAGCCAAACTAAATCTTCTTCAAGGCAATCCACTTTGAACAAGAGTGAAAAATTACTTCTTCTCAAGGGTGAATCAAAGTAAGGAAAGCAAGAGCAATATAAATCTAAGATATCTAAGATCCAGAGAGAATCTAAAATCCAAGGGACGGAGGTTGTGAAATGTTTCAAGTGCCAAGATTACCAAACTAATTACCCTAACAAGAGAGTGATGACCATGCATGATTGATTAGCAAAAAGGTAGCTAAAAGAACACACCAATGAGGAGGAAGTAAGTGATGTTGGAGACAAGTTAACCTAAGCTAAAAGTGGTGACATAAACACGTTCTTATACATCTTTTACATGCTATTTAATTCCTTCTTTTAATAATTAAAGCTTTAAAGGGAGCATCTTTTCCATCTTATACAACTTTTACTCTGGTTGGAGTGGAAGAAATAAGCTATTCACAAACCTTGGCTGACGACTTGAATACAACTGCAATGACTTGCCCTATAAATTACATGCTTCGATGCGTAGATGTAGGCACTAATGTGGAGGTTAATAAGAGAGCATTGGTCAGTCGACGTGTATATCTAGACACCAATGTGGAAGAAGTGAGCTTTGGTCAGTCCATGTTTACAGATGACACTAATGTGGAGGTTACTTGGGGTGACATCATCAACTTAAATCTTAAGACATATGCTTAAGACTTTTCCCATTTTTCTTCAAAAATCTCAAGCAAGTTTCAAGTTGAGTCTTGAAATTCCAAGACTCAACTTAAGACTTGAGATTAGGACCCACTTCACCCACCTCACTTTTATTTTTATAATTCATTTTTTTATTTTTACACATTTCTACATATAATATGTCAAATATTTAAGTCTTAGGGCTAAAGTGATAAATTTGTGTAAGTCTTAGTGAGTCTTAATAGGAATTTGATGACATCATTTTCAATGGGAACTACAAAAAATGATGTCACATCCAAGTCTTAAGACTTGGGGCTAAACTTGCTCTAATTCAGTTTTGTTTGGGTGCCTTCTAATGTTTTGCTGCTTTCTACTGTTACCCCTTTGTACATAATTTACTTCATTATAGCCAGTGGTAGTTTGATCCTGAGCTCATGCATGTGGACACCAAAATACTTTGTAGCCTTTGTAAAATATTGCGTTAGGGTCATTATAGCACAAGAACAAGTATAAAGGGCTCTCCTTGCAAGATGTCCTACAAGATTTTAGCCTAGAAGGGAAGCTCAATGTAATCACATCCAGAGTGCCTTTGTCGTGATCAATGCCGCCAACATGATTTGGCCAACTACCATGGCTTGATTTTTATTTGGTTTTGTTAATTTTATGATAATTACCTCAAAGCAACCTAATTTTGAGTTGAGTGAATCATGGTTTGATTAATCATTGGGAAGAAAAAGAATGGGGCAGTGGAGGAAAGATAGTCACTTGTTTGATGTAAAATAATCTTTTTCCTACAATTAACTCTTAAGTCCGATCTTCCTTCCAAACCATTCCAATTTTAAATTGATTTCTTAGTGACTGAAGGAAAGCAATTACCTCAATTTCCCTCATTCCCATATCACTCATAAGGGATACTACACCTTTTCCTTTCCCTCCAATCCCTTCTATCCAAACAAGCTGTTAAAACAAAGAGTATCTTGAAACTCTCTTTAAGTTTCTTGGTAGATGGCGAAGCAAGGAAGCCAAGGGTTGGTGATCAAGGAGCAATTCAATGTGTTCCAGATTAGAGATTGAATCCCCTACAAAGGAGGAGAGGAGGATCCAGATGCAAGTAAGGGATACAAAGTTCGCTCAAACTTCTTCAAGCTATATAATGCATCTTCTTTAGGTAGATTTGGTACCTTTTTGTTATTGGGTGCTCTTGTATTAGCAGTTGGTCATAGTAGTAATTTAACACCAAGCTGCTTAGCTTGGACTCTTGGAGCTTATTCTGGTGACATTTCTAGTTTCAAGAGCTAAAATACAACAAGGTGAATAAATGGTTTTTCAAAGGAGCAAGGTAGACGTGCGTTGCAAGGTGAATTTCACATAGTCCAGTATTTAAGTAAAAGTCAAATGGATCTAATCTAAACAATTTGCTCAAATGAACCAAACAATAAACCAAACTAGGATCGCTAGATAGGGCAAATAAGCATCATAACTATTCTCATAAGTTTTAACACAAAACTTTAAACTCTATTAAGAAGTCCTCACAAGTCAGAACCTCACTTGGCATACAAAGAAAAAACACAAAATCAGCACTTTAATTGCCTATCATTCACACCATATTCATGTTATCTGACCGAAATCCCAACCACTAAACCTGAAAATAGAATCAAGATATTTAAACAATGTGTCAACAATAAACCATGAATACTTTCAACATGACAAAACAATCACCATATAGTAATTTATTTCTTCACATTACAATCAATCAAAGTCTTAATCCCATCAGTGGAGTGGGCTACATCAATCAAAGCATTACAATGAACTAAAATAAAAATTGCAATCCCTATATCACATAAAATTTATAAATTCACAGGGTATTTAACCAGAAAAAAAAATAAATAAATAAATGTTATGATAGAAAAGGAAAGAAAACTGACTTGAACAAAATGGCCACCCATACGAGTAGAAGGCAAGAGAGCTCTCTCCAAATTAACAACAGACCCGGGTTCGAGCTCAACCAACGATGTCTTCCTAAGCGTCTCAGGTGCTAACCCAACAGTAAATTCTGACAATTCTGTATTAAATTCAGTAACAGTAAGGCATGTCCCATTAACTGCAATGCTATCACCAAGTTTTACACCTTCAAGAACAACTTTAGCTCCAATTTTAAGGTCAAACCCTCCATTAACGCCATACCCCAGTTGCTTAACTTCGCCCATTTCTTCAACAATGCCAGTAAACATGCAATTGATTTGGTTTTTGTGAGATTGGGGTTTAAGGGTTTGGTGGGGTTTGGGGTTTTTTGTGAAGAGTTTAGCAATTGGGTATTTGAAATTTGAGTTGAATTTGAGTTGGCCATTTGAGGGGAGATTGTGGAAGTTGCAGATTGAGATCTTTGGTTGGGAGAGTTTGGAAGAGATGAATGAGAGTGGGACTTCAATTGCCATGTTTGATGAATGAATGAGAATGGTACTTGAATAAAGAATGAAATTAGGGGGAGAGCTAACCTGGTGATTAATCGATGCTAATTAGGGAAAGAAACAAAAATTGGGGTGCGTTTTTTTGGTAGAAAACTAGTCTGTGACTCAAGCACGGATGTCAGTGAGGTGGGTTAAGTAGGAGACCCGCCCCATCTCCATCCCATGGTTTCGGTTTGACAGATGGTGGGAAAGGAATGAGGATAAAAATCATATCCGTCATGGGTGATGGGCGGGGTGGATTTTAAGTTGAACCCGCCTCATCCCCGTCCCGCCCCGCCCCGCCCCGCCCCACCGGTCCCACTTCGTATCAGCTTCATCCCTACCTCATAATCACGTCTATATATATGTAAAAACAAAATTATATACTTTTATACTATTTTATAGAATAACTACGTGAAATAAAATATTAATTATAATACTTTGTATTATACTTATATTATAAACAAAAACGTGTGTAATATTAAAAAAAAATTAATTGTAATCCGTATTAATTGTGTTGGATTGTGTATTTGAGAGGCGGAGATTGAGTGGGTCTTGGGTGGGGATTAGGCGGGTCTTTGGTGGGAATAAGGTGGGGGTGGATATCTAAGTGGGGGGTGGGCCAGGGATGGTTTTGGAGTTGTACACGCCGTGGCGGGGATGAGGATGAATTTTGGATCCGCCGCGGGGATGGGGATAGGGATGAAAATATTATGTGGGGATGGGGATGGGAAGATCAACATCCGCCCTATTGACATCCCTACTCGATCACCACGACTTTTTATTTTTTTGGATAATTGTGGATATAGTGATGCAAACTTAAATAGTTAGGAGGCTTTTATCATCTATATATCTATATCTATTCTATAAATATTACTAAAGTAACAACCACTGACATCATCATTTTTTTCCAAATTATACACGTGTCAACTTTCTTTCATTTTTTTTCCCGCCTAAACTTTTTTTTTTCCTTTCATATTTTTTTAAAAAATAAAATCTAAATATTGATTGCAAAGTAGTTTAATACAATACAATAAACTTTTTAGTTTTCAAAACTTTTTCTTTTAACAACCTTTTAAAAATCTTAAGGAAAACAAATACCAGCCTTTTATATATGTAATTATTCCATCTAATTACAAAGTTCGCTAAATTTAATTGTAGACGAGAATTTTCTTTTGTTTATATTATTATTTTAACTTTTGTAGTTTTATTTATATTAATAATATCGAATGTGATACAAAGATTTTACATATTATAACTGATATCAATAACAATATACTAAAAGACACACTAGCAATGACACGTGTCATCTTCTGGTGTGTACTTAGTATATATACTTTTAAAAAATTGATAAAAAAAATATATACGCAAAATATTTACTTCCAAAATTTATGAAAAAATTCGTATAATAGTATATTTATAAACTTAAAAATCTAACCATATCATTTTTTTATTTTTTGTTTCTTTGATAAGAATTAGTGATTACTTTTAATGTATAATGATTATTTATATATAGTTAAAAAAATCACGAATATATATTTTTCAACTTAACATAGTTGGTGAATGAAAAATTATCATATTTGGATTAAATCATCTAATTAGGTTAGTAATTTCAACTTAACCTAAGCAACTAATTACAAATTAGTCGTATAATTATATCATTAAAATATTAAATCATCTAATTAGGGGCTGGTTAGGGAAAAGGGTAACAATCACTAGAATTAATCACTTTTAAACTTTTAGGGGTAGTAATTAACAACTTTTTTGTGGGTAGTAATTCACAACTTTTTTTTAGGGTAGTAATTCACAACTTTTTTTAGGGGTAGTAATTCACAAAGACCCCTTTTTTGAGGTAGTAATTAAGTTCCTATTTGGAAAAAAGAAAATGTTATCAAGGTTCAAAATAGAAGAAAGCAATATATTATGTATTCAAAAGATAATAATAATAATAATAATAATAATAATAATAATAATAATAATAATAATAATAATAATAATAATAATAATAATAATAATAATAATAATAATAATAATAATAAATAAATAAATAAATAAATAAATAAATAAATAAAAATAAAAAAATTAAGTAACTTGATTTGAGATAAAATTAAAAAAAAATAAAAAAAAATAAAAAAATTTTGATACTCCGTGACAAAGGTTGAAAACTTAACCTAGTGTTCTAAACGGGCGAGTGATGGAATTTGATCCCAATATCACTTATATTCGGGAGGAAGTAAATGGTTATGAAACATATGATCCTATTTTGTTCACTTTAATAAATGCAAATAAAGGTTAATTGTTAAATGTGGAAGAGAAAATACGGAGAGATGAGGGAAGATTGTTACGTTGTATTTCCTATTCCATCTAGTACGGGATATATATAATGTACATTACCTAGGATAATACATGGGATAATAGTCATCCATATTTAGATATTATCATAACACTCCCCCTTGGATGACTATATATTGAATAAAACAATAACTAACATTTACTATAAAACCCGTACAAAATAATACACTATAATATGCATAAGATGCTGCCTCATTAAAAACCTTACCAGGAAAACCCAGTGGGAAAAAACCATGGTTAAGGAAAAAAGAGTGTAGTGCGCATTAACTCCCCCTCATGACTACATCACTTGAGATCTTTAAGACGACGCAATCCAATGCCGTAAGCTAACTTTTTTAATGTTGCTGTCGGAAGAACCTTAGTAAATAAGTCTGCTAAATTCTCACTTGAACGAATCTGCAATACATTTATATCTCCATTCTGCTGAAGATCATGAGTGAAGAAAAATTTGGGTAAGATGTGCTTTGTTCTATCGTCTTTGATGTATCCTTCCTTAAGTTGAGCAATACAAGCTGCGTTATCCTCATATAAAGTTGTTGGTTCCTCTTTCCCAGATGATAATCCACAAACTTCTTTTATATGTTGAACTACTGACCTTAACCATACACATTCACGACTAGCCTCGTGAATTGCTAAAATCTCATAATGATTGGAAGAAATAGCTGCAACGGTTTGTTTCATGGAACGCCAAGAAATGCCAGTACCACCATATGTGAACACATATCCAGTTTGTGACCGACCATTATGAGGATCAAATAAATAACCTGCATCTGCAAAACCAATCAATAATTTTCTTTAGACAACTTTGGGAAAAATAAACCCATATCCTTCGTACCTTGAAGGTAACGAAGTAAATGTTTAATCCCATTCCAATGCCTTCGGGTTGGACATGAACTAAACCTTGCTAATAAATTAACTGAAAATGATATGTCAGGTCGTGTATGACTTGCAAGGTGCATTAGTGCTCCAATTCCACTAAGATACGGTACTTCAGGACCAAGAATTTCTTCATCATTTTCCCGAGGTCGGAATGGATCTTTCTCTACTTCAAGTGATCTTACAACCATAGGGCTGCTCAATGAATGTGTTGTATCCAAAGAAAATCTTTTAAGAACCTTTTCTATGTATGTTGATTGATGCACAAGGATTCCATTCTCTAGGTGCTCTATTTGTAACCCCAAGCAGAATTCTGTCTTTCCTAGATCTTTCATTTCGAACTCTTTCTTTAAATAATTGGCAGTCACTGAAATCTCTTCAGGAGTTCCAATGATATTTAAATCATCAACATACACTGCAATTATAACAAATCCTAATCCAAATTTCTTTATAAAAATACATGGGTTGATAGGATCATTCTTATAACCTTATTTCAACAAATACTCACTTAGATGGTTATACCACATAAGCCCAGATTGTTTCAATCCATAAAGAGATTTGTTCAATTTAATACATAAATGTTCTCGAGAACTAGATTTTGCTACTTCTGGCAGTTGGAATCCTTCTGGGAGCTTCATGTAAATGTCATTATCCAGTGGGCCATATAAATAAGCTGTGACTACATCCATCAACGTAATTCAAGTCCTTCTCTTATTGCCAGACTAATCAAAAATCTAAAAGTTGTTGCATCCACCACAGGAAAATATGTCTCCTCATAATCAATACCAGGTCTTTGTGAGAATCCTTGTGCAACTAAGCGTGCCTTATATCTTACAACTTCACCCTTTTCATTTCTCTTTCGCACAAAGACCCATTATATCCCACTGGCTTTACACCTTCAGGTGTACGGACTACAGGTCCGAATACTTCTCTTTTTCCAAGAGATTTTAATTCTTCTTCAATTGCTTCTTTCCATTTTGGCCAATCATTTCTTTGTCTACATTCTTCAATGGATTTTGGTTCATGATCCTCATTATTATCTATAACATCTAATGCTACATTGCATGCAAAAACATCATCGACGTCGATTTGATTTCGGTTCCATGTAATTCCAGACATGATATAATTTATTAAAATTTCTTCATTGTCAGGTACCTGAATTTCTTCTTGTATCATGTCTAAAGTCTCTTCTGGAGATCCTTCGGAAATTGTTTCTTCAATTTGACCATCATCTTTTCTTTTCCGAGGATTATTATCTTTGGAACCTATTGGTCTTCCACGTTTCTGGCGTGGTTTAGACTCATTAGCAATTTTATTTTGTCCTTCCGGGACATCTATTTTAAATGGAGCATTAACAACTAGAATATGTGACTTGGTCACTCTTTTTGGGTCAGCAAACGAGTCTGGCAATTGATTCGCTAAACTTTGTAAATGAATTATCTTTTGAACTTCCAGTTCACATTGTTTAGTTCGAGGATCAAGATAGGATAATGATAATTCATTCCATTTAATTTCCTTTTCCAGCTCTCTCTTATCTCCCCCTAATGTTGGGAAAAGTGACTCGTTAAAATGACAATCTGCAAAACGAGCCGTAAATAAATCCCCTATTGTAGGCTCAAGATATTTAATTATTGACGGGGATTCAAACCTAACATATATCCCCCAACCTCCTTTGAGGACCCATCTTAGTGCGTTGTGGTGGAGCTATTGGAACATAAACCGCACATCCAAAAATTCTTAGATGGGAAATATTTGGTTCCTGACCATAAACCAATTGTAATGGGGAGAACTTGTGATAACTTGTTGGCCTAATGCGAATTAGTGATGTTGCACGTAATATAGCATGTCCCCGAGCAGAAATTGGGAGATTGGATTTCATAAGCAATGG